CAAATGTGGCAACTATTATTGTCGTTTCAATCAAACTCTCCTAAAATTAATTGAAAATACATCAGTACTTATACCTCTAAAACCTAACACCGTCAAGCTTCAATTACAGTTGAGTGAGCATTGTTCGTCTTAGCCCGAAACAAAACTTGAACAATAGTTTTATCAGTTTTTTAGGGAGTATTATCATTTAGAGGACAGTTATTTTAGAATTTTTTTTTTTAAAAACAATTTGCATTTTAACACCGAGTAATTGATACTTTTTATCACTCACGTGACTTTTATAAAAAAAAAAAAAAAATACTACACTTAAAAAAAGTTTATACAAAATCTAGCCGTTGTTTGGTCGTCAACGACAACTAAGATATAGTCATTATCCACAGCCAAATCTTTACCCATAGGTTTGGCTGTTTTCAGCCAGATCCATGGTGAATCTAGTCAAAAAATATCAGATCAACGCACAATCGACTAGATTCAATCGATCGTGCACCACTTCGATAACTTTCGGCCATCGTCCAGTAGTGATGGCTGACTGTTAGCAATAGTTGAGTGGGTGGAAGTGTTCTTATTAATTTATAAACTTTTATTGTGGGTGAATGTTTAGTTAAATTAACAAATGTAAAAGGTTAGAAAATAACATAAATAATTTCAGAAAATATTATTTTCCAAATCACATTCTCAAGATCTTATCCTATTTGATTAAATATTATTTTATTATAGAATACTATTCTAAAAAGTAAAACAAACACAGCATTGATACTTTCAAGTTTTTAAAAAGGCATTTTAGACCTTTTAAATTTTTACAAATTAATTTGTTTTCCTTTCTTTCTCCCCATAATTTTTTTTTCTTAATCTTTTTCCTCCTCTTCTGTTTCTTATTTCTCTACCCTTCTCTTCTTGGGCCGTTTGGTCCTCGTCAAAGGAAAATGCCTTTCAACAACTAGATTTTGACTAGACCAGACCTAGCAATGAGTCATGTTGAATTGTTTTCGTGTTGTGTTAAAATTTCTTAAACCAAATCTAAACTCGAACATTATTTTGAGTGTTACCCAAATCCATCCCATTAAAAGCTTGCCCTCATTTGTTTTTTTTTTCTAATTAAACAATTTAATTTATTATGATTCAACTCCTATAAATAATTTTATACAATAATATTAAACTATATACCTAAACATATAAATATTAAAATGTATAACACTTCGTAATCATATAATTTCACACAATGTTATTATTATTTTTTCATACTGTAGTAATAATATAAGAAAATTTAATACTATTGTTTCATTCTCAATTTTCAATGTAGTGTATAAAATATAATTCATCTTTCCGCTTAAGCTCATCATTGAAAGCATATACAAATATTAATGAAGCATGGCAATATCACATTTTACAATTAAATTTATAAACCTACAAGTAGAAATAAAAAAAACAATATTGCCTATCTTGAATTTAAATTTGATGACTATGAGACAAAATTAGACTTTTTTTTATGTTGATCAATCATAGAAATTAAAAAATAAAATAGAGCAACTAGGTTAAACATTTAAAAATGAAATAAATAATACATCTTGTTGATGCAAAATTTTGCACCAATTGAGGAATTACACCGTCCTTAGTGGGCATGTATCAGTGAGTCCTTAGGGCATCTCCAACCCACGCCAAAATGGCGTAAAAAACACCACCAACCCACGCCAAACACCACGCCAACACTGTAGCACGAATAAAATATATATATATATTTTTTAATTTTGCTTTTTGTTTTAATTTTATTAAGTTAATTTGAGTATTAAATTTTACACCAAAAATCACATCAAATTTGAGTATTTGTATTTAATTTAATTTGATTATTATTTATAATAATAAATTTATAATAATGATATAATTTAAAAAATGATGAAAAATTAAAAATAGAACTTTATTCAATGCAAATATTAAACTACAATAACTCAAAATAAAAATTAACACTAATTTAAAAACACTAAAATTAAAAGAGAATACAACATAAACTCAAATAACAATTTAGTATTCCGGTAGATTAGTACCGGATAAGATCATCAAAATATTGAAAAGAACTAGAGTTATTACAATAAAAGAAATAGATTAATTGTTATTTAATATTGAAAAGAACTAGAGTGATCAAAATAATTATTATTTAATAAAAATATCATTCCTAATATTTAATTAATATATACAAAAATAATGAGTGAAATAGATTAATTGTTGATTATTAAAATAAAAGAAAAAAAGAATATTCTAAAGAATATTCTTTTGGTGTTGTGGGTTGGAGATAGAATAGTGTTTTGCATCAAAATTTGCACCAATTTAGTGCAATTTTGCACCAATTTGGTGCAATTTTGCACTAAATTGGTGCAATGGGTTGGAGATGGTCTCTGACTGGTCGTTTCAATTTCGTTGATGCGTCGTTCAAAAGCAAGAACGAGGCCACCCCTAGTCTCTTACATCACTTTTTGTTGAGGATTTTTTTTTTTTTTTTTTTTTTCTATTCTCTGCATTCCTTGGGTTACTTGATGATATAGATTGCTGAAGATTTGGGATTCAACATGAAACCAAAGTGATTGTTTGATTTCAACATGGGTGGGTGATGAGATTATGCTGAAAAATTAAGAAATTTAATGATTTTTTTTTTTTTTTTTTTAAATTTATGGGATGAATTAGGTAATGAGATTTTGCTGGTAAGGTTGAAAATTTGATGAAATTTTAATAGGAAGAAGGAGAAAAGTTTAGAAAACTTGTTGGGTAAATATGAAATTGTTAAAATTTTAAGTGTGGAATAGAAATTAATGACTTTGGTGATTATAACGGAAGAGAGAAAAAGGGGGCGAATAGTATACTATGGTTGGATTTCGGATACTGCATGATAAGTACAAATTCGAAAAAAACCCAAAATTAAAAAGTGAGTTTAATGATTTAATTTAAGTATAAATTTTAATAATAAAATGTACTAAAATTTAAGGCTTACTTAGTTTAATAGAGGTCAAATCCACTCCATAATTAATCATTATACCCTTGTATTATTAATTCTAAAAATCATATCTCTTATAAACATAATCTCTAATTCTATTTTCAAACAATAAGATTGAATTATAATAGAGGTACAACACTAATTGAATTTTATAGTTGAATATATATAAGTTCTAGTTAAGTTGTATATATTAATTTTTATCTTTATAATTTAAAGTAATTTTTAGATTGAAAAGTTAACTGAGGAGAACATTAAAATATAGGATGAAGAAATAAATTTTTTTTAATCAATATAGAAATTAACTAAGTTCTATGTATACTTTTTATTTTTTTATTTTTTTATTAGAGGTGTTTGGACCAACTTATGTGTATCTCAATTAATCTTTTAGAACTCTAGAATCAATAACTGAATAAGAACTTTAGTGGCTACCCCTATTAACAATCGAGAAATGACTCAAAATCAAGACTTCTTGAATAATATACTCAAAAATCTTTATCGAATCATTCCACCATCCAAAAGCAATTAAGTTATACATATACAATAAAAAAAGAACATGAGGAGAATATACAGTATAACAAACTAGATTTTTAACAACTTGCAATACCAGTTGTTGAAACATTTTCACAATTGCTGTCCGCATGTCATATCACAAATAGACGCCTTTTATGACGCTCAACGGTTGTTATCCTTTAATGAATGCATGTTGTATAACAAGTAGTGTTGTGAAAAATATTCAACTCACTTTTCACAACTTGATGTTATTTAATTATTAGAAATCAAGTTTGGCATGCTTAGGTCCACCAATAATCAAAGAGATAAGACAAGGCACCTTCAAGACAGTCCCCACCATAACTAGTAGCCCAATTTATCAACAACTTGCATTAATGCCTGTTGTTTAAACCCTTGTCAGAACGACTATTCGCATGTTGAAAATGAATGCATCTTTTGCGACGTATTGAATACTAGAATTTTGCCAAGTTTATGTCATTTAATTATTAGAAAGCAACTTTGGTCCATCAATAATCAGAGTGATAAGGAAGAGTTGGGTTGTTAAATTTTATAAATTTTCAAACGGAAGGAGCAAGACTATGTAAGTTGAATGAAATATGTCTAAATATGAAAATGTAATGTAAGGATTATTTCCAAAATGAATATAATTTTACAATTTTATTACTAAGAATTTTATTTTAGTAATAAGATAAAATGCACACGTCATTGCTTGGTTTCTAATCAAAGTTAATTACTGACCCCCAACCAAAAAAAAAAAAAATTGGAACGCATCTTTTTGTTTATTTAATCAACTAATTAGTTCCAAATTTTAAAAAGATACAAACTTTGTACAGAGAAATTCCAGTTTTCAAGACAAGTAATTATATATATATACAAACTACTCACAACAAATTGATGTTGCAACCTTGTATGTATGTCATATAATTTTTTTTAATTATTTAATTAATTTTTAATTTAAAGTTATCCAACCATATTAAAACATTATCAGTTTGTATATAAAATATTATTCTTAAAGATAAAAGTAAGCTACATATACAAATTATCTATACAAACTGATGTAATAACCCTACATCTTTGCCATGCAATCTCTTTTAATTATTTAATTAATTTTTAATTTAAAATCACTCAATCATATTAAAACAAGTCAATTTGTATAAAAAAAATTGTATAAAAAATATAACCCTTAAAAGTAACTATATTAAGATGGGTTAAAGACTAAACCACCAATATATGATATAATAATAAAATTTTCTAAAAGTTTTTTAATAACAAAAATCCCTCTGAAGTTAATGAACCATTAATCAATCATTTAAGATTTATGATATTAAGGGATGATAAATATTATCAAACTGCCTTCTTACCATTGATTTTAGAACCTAACTTTACGGCAAGAGGATTTCTATTATTTTTGAAACTTTTTAAGGAGATTTTTGTTATTTCATCATACCTCAAGGGGATCAATTAAATCTTCAATCTTTCCTATATGAATAATAATGAGAAACACTTAAAAATAAGTTGAATTTCCCATAGATTGCAAAAAAAAAAGAAAAAGCAAGCAAACATTATGATATTTAACACTCCAACTTTTATCGGCGATCCTTATCAATTCAACACTCTACATAATCAGTTAACTTTAACAAACCAAATAAAATAATGTCTTCAAAAATTTCAGCTCCATCTTCATCATCTGCATCTTCTGCAGTTATTAGATGTTATATACAAACCCATTTGTCTTAGATGTATGTACAAGTTTGACCTGCATCATAATAGTAAACAAATAAACTTACAAGTTTAAACTAAATCCATTACTACCTTGGCGTGACCATTATTCGAATTATTCTTTTCTCTAATTAAAAAATAAATGCAGATATGCTGTGTCTGCACTAAAGACACTTGTATATATGTAGTACCAACGTGCAAGATTATCTCATAGTCGAAGTGAAGTCTTGGGACAACATTAGGTTAAATACTCTACACATACATGCCCCATCATGACAACCCCGAAGCAAAAGACACAAGCGTTTCTGTATCTGAAACTGTTGATGGTAAAATGGAAAAAATGTATGCAAAATTTGTCATCCTCCCTCACAAGGTTCGCTCAAAAGAAAAATAATACAGCATCCACTCACAGCTTATGTATGAAGTTGCCAAGCAAATCATGGTATGCATGGCTTAGCAATAATCCGATTGTCGAACCTCAATCAGTTGCCCAAGAGCAACTAAGAGACATTAGTCGTTCATTTATGATGAAAGAGAGGAAGCTTACCAATTTCTAGAGACTATTCACTTCCAAAATCCCCATGACCTATGCCTTCAGATTTGATGTCCAACCTTTTATTATCTCCTGTAGGCCAAGACCCCAATTTAGGTACCGTCTCTGAATGAAACACATTTATAAAGCACAAATGTGTTGGGGGAGGTAGGGGAAGATGGACAAGAAGTAGAGAAGGTAGAACTCACCTTGACTCTCTCTTTCACAAGAATTAAGGAAATTTTCAGTATCTGTAACTAGGAATGGTGACCTAGAATAGCTCTCCAGTATATCTGGAAATATTAGAAATGAGATTCAATTCCTACTATAACACCCATAAATTGGTTAAAAAATGCTTCAAAACTCCAACATAAATTAAATAAAATCTCAAACACATAGAAGGCAAACCTGAACTATGAGAAAAGTCAGCTGTCAAATCTGATAGACTGAAATTTCGAGGAATCTGACCCAAAAATCCAAATGAAGAAGTATCTGCATCAAGAAGGGGTTCATTCAGTGTCTGAGAGGTGGACTCTCCACTGCTGAAAGATGCAACAGATGCATCTGCAACTGATGGTCGGGCTTCCAGGACATTGCCATCAGCACCAAACATGTATGGGGAGCTTCCTGAATATCCCACTTCTGATTTGACCATCCCCCCTTTCATCCCTTCAATCAGACCTCTGCTCTTAGTTGAAAGCAAATTTGTTGTGTTATCAACCCTGCTCACCTGGGAAGACACTTCAATGGCAGAGGGCAAACTTGTACATAATGACGACCTTCCATCAATAAATGTATTAGGTACACTGGAGCCAATTAGATGGTGCACGTTTTCCAACTTTATAGCTGGTCCAGTGTGCTCTATTGGATAGCTTGCTGAATTCTGGGGCACTGACAAATAAATGAAATCAATAGCTGTATTGATAGTAACAAATAAGCGATAAAAGGCAAAGCACATTCCCAATAAGGCAAAGCATGTCCATGATCTATTAGGCAAAGTAAGAATGTTCAACTTGGCAGAAAGCAGTCTTACATGGTGGGACACGAGACCTATTAGAATTAGGAATTGGAGCAACTCCAGGTGGGTGAATTTGACTCATTAAACGCAGCTGTTGCTCAAGCAGCTTATTGAATTCAATAATTTGGTGCTTGACCATCAGTCTTAAATAATAAGCCCTGAAGAATTCCCGATTCTCTTCTTCAAGCTTTTGCCAAACTGGAAAGCAAGAAATATTTCAAGTTCACAAGGAGATTAAAGACTAAAATATGGTATACAAGAAAAATTGCACATAACTTTTGACCGGGAAGAAAAATAAAGATGCATCCTCAACATTACAAATTATCTATCCCATCCATTATGAGAAAATTTGAACTCTGAGATGGTTTGATCTAGCTAATAATTAATTGATAAACCAACACTACTTATGTCCATCTTAGCAGACTCAAAAGAGAGTTACAAATCGAGCATCTTCATGCATATCATAATGAAAGGGCAAATCACCCATGAACAAGGATTGGCTGATAAAACCAAAACATCAAGCAGTAGCCAAAACTCAATGAAGAATATTCTTAAATGAAATTATTTACAAATAAATAACATAGCTTCTACAATAACAAAAATGAGTTTAAAATGTCAAAATCAATCTTACAAGACTAGTTCATGGAATCAGCAAATAATAGTCCAATAATACTACTATTTATGACACAAGTCTAGCGGCTTGAGTAATATTTTGCCAAAACTTTGCATTCACCTTGAGCACCACAGTAGCCTATCCCATCTCCACAAGCAATCCAAGTTGCTCCTCACAAGACTCATAAAGTTCTACAATTACATAACTTTATCAGAAGCCCTTTGTCTCCACCAAATAAATGCTTAGAGTTAAGCTGCTACCATTCTCATAACTTTTAGCTTTCAATGGGAAATGATTAACCAAATTAGAAACCTAAAAAGAAGCCTTCTATTCATAGAAAAACCATAAACCATCAGGCTACACAATCCTTTTTCTCTTGCCTTCCTGGGAAAGAACACTACTATCATTGGAATGTTCAATATTGAAAAATATAAAGTTGGGAAAAAACTTTGAAGCATTTGGAAGATAAGGATACTATTTGCTGTTTGACAAATAATTAAGCAGAATAAAATTTCTACGAATCCCAAAATTGCCTGAATACCAAATTTGCTAGATTCAACTAGAGGTACAGAAACAACTTAAATGATTATCCAACCGCGAATTAAAAATGTTTGCATACTTATTCGGGTGTATATGTCTTATATCTCTTATATCAACACCCAAAAAGAAAAATGAAAAAGAAAAGACAGATATGTATCTTCTAAGCAGCAACTGAATTTCTATTCCTAAAAGCTTCAAAAAGAACTTTCAGTTTGTGTGAGTGACAAAACCCCTTCATTGCAGTGCAAGCATCTGAAGAAATGTAAGCATCCACTACTTTGTAACTTGGTTCTATAATACACTAATAAGGATCAAGAAGAACTACACAATACAATGGAACTACTATCTAGATATGTAAGTCTGTTCCTTCTATCAATTGACAGGGTTAGAGAACTTGATTTTCTTGAGCTAAAATTATTACAATGTACCACTCAATTAATCAATCCTTTATTTGGAAACATAAAGGAAGAATGAACGGAAAATTGACAAGGTTAGAAGGAACAGACTCACATATCCATTGACAGGGTTAGAGAACTTGATTTTCTTGAGCTAAAAATATTACAATCTACCACTCAATTAATCAATCCTTTATTTGGAAACATAAAGGAAGAATGAATGGAAAATTGTAGCCTGAGAATATAAGCTTATAAACTATTGAAATATCACAAATCTTAAAAGATTTTAAATACAGCTTAAAAACAAATGGAAATATAGCAATCTTATGATTAAATGTGAAAAACTTAAAGTCCACTATATCTTAACAATGCTATAATTATAATACCATGGCACCCAAAAATATTACAATCTATCATCTCAATCATCAAAATGCAACCATGAATAGATAATGAAAGCACAATCTATCACCCATACACTTTCTGCAAATCAGCAACAATAAATAGAAGACAAGGTTTGAACAAGAAAAATGCAGGAGCCAAAAATTATAAACCAAAGAATTAGGCAATTAAAATCAATGATGGCATCATTTTGAATCACATAAATGGGGCTTAAGTCCCACAAAACAATAAGCTAGTTACCAAGTTCTGTAAAGCCAGGCTCTATCTTTGCCTGAGCCAATAGAGTTTCCATGACTTCCTTCTGGTTCATATATAATTGAAGACAGCGTTCAATAAGATTTTGCACCTGAAATTAGACATCAATGACCCAAAAAAAGAGATCAAGATCAGCAAACAATTTCCTAGAGATAAAGGTTTGTAAATGGATATTTGACAAGAAAACTATTAACACAATACCAAAAAGAAAAAGGTAAGAGATTCAACTTTTTAATTGATCAACCATGCATGTTAGAGAGACACAACAATAAGATTAATTCCACCAAAGTTTATCAGTTAAGATATTTACATGAGAAAAATAATTATATTTCTTGATCAAAGACCAATCTCAAGGTTCTTATATTTTTTCTCTCATGCAATCAACAACTCTGTATTTATACTTTCATATTTCCAGTTCTTGAACTAGAAAAGCTCCCAAATAACAACACAGTTTAACCCAACAATTCCAATAAAGAAATTGTCTTGGACTTATCATATTTCCAGAATAGTATGAAAATGAAACTCTACTCAGCTTTAAATCATGTGACCAAGATAAATGCAGAAAAATTTTGGAGAGGAGAACAAATAAGGAAAGCTTTTAGCTCAATTGGTACAGAATATTCTCCAATTTTTTTTCCAAAAACAGAGTCATGATCAAAATTTTGCTATTGATGGGCAAGTTGACTTCTTTTATTCAATCTTTATGCCAATGAATTAATTCTTAATTTTGCTAAGTTGAAAGAGAAATCCTCACATGTCAATGGAACAATTCAGTCATGACACAACATTCTCTGTTCCATTTCCCTCCTTTCTGTTTTGCAGGGAAAATTTCTCTCCATAAAAAATTTCACAGAGTTTTAGAAGTAAATTGAATAAAAAATGGAAACAAATACAGGAATCATAAGTAGACAGTCTATCATAGTCCCTCAATAATATTCAAATTCAACATCTTACCGTTTGTAAATCACCATGTGAGACCTTTCTCACAGTTCCATTTGACATCTTGAGGTTCCAAAAGGCAATACGTGTGCAAAAACTGCAGAGATTATATTTCAATGTTTAAAAAAACTAGTGAATTTATCTTGCAAGTTGACATGATTCAGCATCTTATCATAAATATGGTATGCATACAACCTGATGACAAAATACATGAGAAGAAATAGAAAGAAATACAAGGACACCATTAAAAGCTCCTACAAAACTGAATTAACAAGTAGTTATCTTACGACATTCTGCACATGGACTGTCATATCATTTAGTAGCATCATATTGATTTAGAACATATGTTAGAAAATTCGTTTTCAATACAAATGAATGGAAGTTCGTTAAGAAAAAAAAAATAAATTTTACTTTTGTGGATGTAGACATGAGTTTTCACTAAGACTTAAGTTTATCAGAATAATCCAAAATGTGTACATTTTTTAACAATTATTTTATGCACTAGAACAGTTAACTATATCGAAAATATTTATTAACCTTTAGTTTATAAAATTACTTCCACAAGCTAACCTAATTTACATCCATATCAAATAAATTCATTGCTATCGAGCTCTGTTAAAATATTTATAAAACAGATATCTATTTCCCTGGCATATCCATTAACAAAAAATCCATAAATAAATCAAAATTTTAATCAAGAATTTTCCAAACTCAAACGATTTTCAAGTTTTCAATTTAATAGGACAATTTTTTTTCAAGAATTCAGCAAAACAAATACTAAACAATTTAATCAAGAACGAAAAACGACGCCATTTATTTGCATTCATATTGTTTAATCTAATATCGAGGAAATAATTTAACTCAAAAACAATTACAAAAGAAATAACAAGAAATATTAATTATAGAGAAAGGAAAGTAAGTTTATTGAAATTAAAATAAATAAAGGAATAAATAAAGTAAAGCGAAACATAAACTACCGGTGGCTAGGTGTCGGCGACGGACGACTTTCGGCAAGTCGGTAACGGCGTCCGGTTGGCTCGCTGACAGCGGCAATGAAAAAGGAAGGAGATATCACGAAAAATGGAGGCGTCACATGGATCTAGAATTTCTCGGTATTATTTTTCAAGATAATTCTAGGTATTATTTTTCAAGATTGCGGCAAAACAAAGGGCCATTTTATTAAAAGACCATTTTAACTAAAAATTTAGTTAAAAGGCTATAAAGTTGGTAAATTTTAACTAAATGGCCTTGTTTTTTTATTAAGCTTAATTAAACATGATTAGGGGGTTAATTAGGATTAATGAATAATTGTGTAATCTTTTAAAAAATATAATAAGTCTTCAAAGAGTCAAAAATCTTGCAAACAAACCCAAACACGTTCTTCTTCTTCTTCCTTCCGCCACATTAACGCATTCCTTTGCCATTAACATCTTCTCCAACACAGATCCTCCTCCTCTTCCTCCTGCTGCTACTGAAATTTCATCCAGGTATATGTATCTCTCCTTTCAATTTACAAAGATTTAATGATGGATTGGGTTTGGGTTATGATTTTGATTTAGTTGTCTAGGTTGTTGGGTTGTGTTTGATGTAATGGAAGTTGAAAGGAGTGGAATTGGTTGAAAATTTTCTTGCATTGTGGGTAGCTGGGGGTGGTAGCACCGATTGTAGGTGGAGATGACTGAAAACGTGTTCTGGTTATGATGGATCGCTTAAGCGATCTGGTGTATCGCTTAAGTGATCTGGTACGTCAGGTATTGGAGCAGATAGACCGCTTAAGCGATCAGGTATGTGGCATAAGATCGCTTAAGCGATTTGCTAAAAGTCTGGTGTATAGCAGCAGATCGCTTAAGCGATCAGTAAATGGCATAATATCGCTTAAGCGATCATGCCTATTTACATTGGATCGCTTAAGCGATCCAGTAAACGATATACCAGATCGCTTAAGTGATACACCAGATCTATCAAGCGACTGTGCAGATGCTTTTTAAAATATTTCAACCTTTAGTTCGTCAGTTAAGAATATTTTTTTTCTTGCATTATAAGTAGTTGGCTATTATAAGACATGGGAAAAGTTGTTTTGGGTGTTGAATATTTTGGTGAGTGGGTGGAGGAAGAAAGTAGGTGGAAGTGGATTGGGAAGAGCAAAGAAGTTATACCAATTGTTGTGAGCACAAAGGTTAGTTTTGATGAGTTGATTGATGAAATAATTAGAAGAGGTGATTTGAGTTGCTCACGTAGTGATATAATTGTGAAGTATGTTTTAAGCAGAGTTCCTGAACATTATAAGGTACCTCCTGCTATATTAAAGTCGAATGAAAGTGTGAAGTTATATATGATTGATGTGGCCGATAATGGTTCGAGGCCGATTTTAAGGGTTTCTTTTGTAGGAGAACTGTTGGAAGTTGGTTCAAAGGAAGGGGATAACGAGGAAGTTGGCAGAGATTTGCCTGGTTTTAATTTGAACCACGAGGGCATTGATTTGTTAGTTGAAAAATCAAGAGTAGACGGTGAATTGGTCATGGGCAGCAAAATGAAAATGTTGAGGAGAAGGACCCCGTACATGTTCCCGCAGATATAAAGATTCCTTTAAATAAAAATTATGCAGAAGGTGTAGTTTGTGAGGAAGAGAACACTATGGTAGTTTATGCAGGTTCAGAGGGGGCAATTGTAGGTAGTAGTGAATCAGCTCATGTTTTTACGGATGGATTAGAGTTGCGCATAGGGTATTTATTTGACAACAAAGAGGAAGTGATGATGAAGCTAAAACTTGTTATGGTGAGAGATAATTTTGAGTTCATCACCAAAAAGTCAAATTTATTGGTTGTGATGGTTGCATGTCGTGACTGAAAGTGCAAGTGGCGGGTTTATTGTAGAAGGTTGGCGGAGTCCGAAAAATTTATTCTTAGCACATATAACCATGAGCACACATGTGGTTTGGGACATATTTCAGGTGAGCATCGACAAGTCTCCTATGACGTTATTGGATAATTTGTCAAACGTCAGTTTGTTGAAGGGAAAGGTCCATCTCCTAAAGAGATTCAGAGACTTGTGCGCACATAGTTGGGATGTGTTGTTAGTTGCTGGAAAGGGAGACAACGTGCACAAGATTTTGTAAGGGGCACGCCGGAGCACGGGTACGCAGTATTAGAAGCGTACCATTATATGCTTCAGTTGACAAACGAAGGTAGCAAGACGGCTTTGAAGTGGGACAGGAATATGATGTTTAAATATTTTTTTGTTGCTTACGGTTCTGCTATTAGGGGTTTTGTAAACATGAGAAATGTGTTGGCTGTTGATGGTTGCTTTTTGACAGGAAAGTAGGGAGGTACATTGTTGGTGGTCATTGCATAGGACAGCGAGAATCACACATATCCTGTTGCATGGTGTGTGGTTGACTCTGAGAATGACAAGTCGTGGACTTAGTTTTTTCAATAATTACGTACGATAGTGCCTGACAGTGATGAGTTGTGCATAATATCTGATAGGCACAACTCTATAAAGAAGGGGATTGCCACTATTTACCCTCAAGCACATCAAAGATTCTGTATAAGGCACCTTGGTGAGAACATAAAAGAAAAGTTTAAGTGTGCTGGCCTCCTTCAAACATACTACATGGCAGCAAAAGCTTATCAGGTTGATGAGTTCGAGGAGCACTTCCAGCAAATCCAAATCAAGGATGATAGAGTTGCTAAGTATCTTGAGCATGATGTTAGTTTCGAGAGATGGAGTAGAGCTTACTTTCCTGGAAGAAGGTTAGATGTCATGACCACGAACATAGCCGAGTCCATAAATTCGAAGTTGTTAATAGAAAGAGAGTTTTCAATAGTTGCACTTTTTGATGCAATCCATAGGACATTGTCTCGGTGGTTTCATGAGCTTCGTTCGGAGTCAGATAATTTTACTACAACCCTTGTTCCGTCAACTGAAAAATTATTGCGAGAACGTATGGAACTGTCAAATGCACTGTTTGCCTATCCTCTTAATTCTCAAAAGTTCACTGTGCGTGGCTATGGTCCGGATGCCCTAGTTAACCTTGTTAGTAAAACTTACAGCTGTAAAGTGCTTGACATTCAACGTTTACCTTGTCCTCATGCACTAGTAGCACTGAAACACCAATGGAAGCTGAATTTTGATTCAAGAATTTACATGGAACTTTGCTTCACTCTCTATATAGCAAATCACTACATGCTAGCTTATTCAGAAACAATATATCCAGTGCCTCCAGAAGAGTGGTGGGTAGTGCCGCCAGTGTTGGTTGACATTATCATCCATCCGCCATTCAAGAAGANAAAAGTTCACTGTGCGTGGCTATGGTCCGGATGCCCTAGTTAACCTTGTTAGTAAAACTTACAGCTGTAAAGTGCTTGACATTCAACGTTTACCTTGTCCTCATGCACTAGTAGCACTGAAACACCAATGGAAGCTGAATTTTGATTCAAGAATTTACATGGAACTTTGCTTCACTCTCTATATAGCAAATCACTACATGCTAGCTTATTCAGAAACAATATATCCAGTGCCTCCAGAAGAGTGGTGGGTAGTGCCGCCAGTGTTGGTTGACATTATCATCCATCCGCCATTCAAGAAGATAGCAAAGGGGAGAAAAAGAGTTAAGCATATTCCATCAGCCTCTGAGGTTCCTCGAAAGATGAATAAGTGCTCAATTTGCAAGCAACCTGGCCATAAGAGAAGCAGTTGCCAGAAGTAATCACATGCAGATCCAGAAAATTAGGTTCGAAGAAGGATGAAATTCAGGGAGTTGCCAAGGCCAACCGTTGATGAGTTATTCTTTTCAATTATTGATGTTTTCAATTTTATTGTTACCTTGAATAAATAATTCTTTATATTTAGTATTCTTGTTACACAGCCTAAATATGTGTCGGTTGGGGATTTTAGTTTGGAATTAGGTTGTCAAATTGAGGAGAAAGTATGGAATTAATATGTGTTGGTAATTTTAGTTTGTCAAAAATCAGGAGAAAAGATGGAAAAGTATGTATTGCCTAAGATATCACGGATCGCTTAGGCGATCATGCACCTAGGCAAGATATTGATTCTGCCCATCACATGATCGCTTAAGCGATCTACGATCGCTTAATCGACCAAGTGAAAATTTAACC